TTTTGTTGTTATACCTTGCAAACACTTATCTGGCATCGTTGATCGGTAGCTCGCACGGGGAAATTTATATATATTTATTATCGTTTCGTGTTTCAGGCTTGGGGCCGGAGTACCTACTGCACACGGCTGGCCCCGGGAGCACCCTCGCCTCGGCCGAGTTGCCCTTCTCGATAGATGGTGAGTTACTTTACACGCTTTTTCTCTTTTTTTCCTCTAATTTTATCCTTCGTTCGCGTCCACGACGTTTACATATTTATAAGGATGCGTAAAAATGAAGCTGAAAACTATACAAGTCTAATTATACCCATCAAATATGAAGACTAAAACTTTTTCCTCAATTAATTTCAAGGAAGTAATTATAATTTGGCATTCGATGGTACATGCATCGCTGCTAAGGGTAGTTGTATGGGGGAGTGGAACAGCTTTTCCCCATTATAATATCCCGTGTAGCCTTGTTTTTCTCTCTGTTTGTCTCGGACTTGGATTGAGAGATGGCCAGGAAGAATATGAGAGAGAGACCGAGAAAAACGTGGTAAAGGTATACATGTATTGGGTAAGAGAGTTTGAGAGAGAGCATCGAAGGGGGTGGGAGGTAAAGCATCGCGATAAGCTCAGGAACAACAACGGGAGCCACAATATATACATATATATATGTATACATGCGCTGCAACGTACGGGTGAGAAGTACAAGGAGTATAGGTGCATGGTCGGTCCAGAGAGAGAGAGAGAGAGGAGGACCGGACAAAGAGGGAGAAAACAGCTCGTTAGAGCACTCTGGCGCGCATAATTGAATCGACTGGCTCGATAGAGCGACACGACCTCATTAACACCTCGGACCAGCACCACCGAGACCTCTTTTGCACGGGTGTATGCATATATATATATAAGGTAGCCTACGTCGTCTCACGCTCATTCAAGTCGCTCGAGTCCCCCCCTCTTCTTCTCGATGCGATCGGGCCTCGCGATATGCTCTATGGCAATTTACATGTCCCATGCGAGCATCGAGAGCACAGCAACAGCTTTCCGCGGACCATCCACCCTCTCGTGGTGTCTCTCTTTATTTATTTATTTTTTCTTTTTTTTCTTTTCCTCGTCTCGCGCGTCGGAAACTAGAGCCTCGAGCCATACATGTACACAATTATAACGCGTATGCGCGTCCGAGAAAAACAAACAAAATGAAGAAGCCCCTCGCTCTCTAACGAATTGGATTAACCGGGGCGCCTGCCGCGACATGTCGAGATTTGCATTTTCATTCGAGGCACCCCCACGCGCCCGTCCTTTATTCGCGAGAATTGCTTACCTTCCTTGGTTGCGTGACTCTTTTTCTTTTTTCTTTTTTGTTTTTCCTCCTTTTTTTTATGCTGCGCTTGTGACGAGTCGTGGGTTGCGCATGTGGATGCGGGCGCGAGAGCTTGAAAAACGGAGGAACAGCGGTTATAAGGGGGGGAGGGAATATAAATGGCCCGTTGCGGCGTAATTTCGTGAAATCCGAGTATAATCCGGCAGCCGTAAAAATTGGCGCTCCGTCACTTTTCTTCTCCTCCATCCCCCCCCCTCTCGCACTAAGGCTGCTTCTTATAAGGCCGCTTGATCCTTGATTCGCACTCTAGCACCAAAGTCCCTCCCCCCCTCCGAGTTAAGCTCCTCACGGCTTAAGCGACCCTCGATCACTTGGTCTTTTCGATTCTGGCTTCGCTCGCCGCGAAATTGGCGAACCTAAGGGGTAACAGGTATACTCTTTGGATTTTGGTATATACGTGAAAAACTACCAAAAAACACCTTTGACAGCGACCAGTAGTAACATTGTCAAGCACGTCGTGAAGAGAGAGGGGGAAAAAAAAAAGGAAGAAAGAACGTGGTGCAGACGTATCAGGTGCAAGTGACGAATTTGCCACGAGTCGTCAAACAAAAAGGGGAATAAATTGTACAGACTACCGCAAATTAGTCCTGTCATTCGAGATTATGCGTATTATATACAATACGTGTGTGTAAGTATATAATATGTACGAGTAACCTTATACTCGGCTCGACGGACCGCATGAAAGCCGAGATTTTATCGTACAGCCGCCGTCCTCTCGAAATCCTCTCTAATCTTTTCTTTTTTGTTTTTTTGTTTTTTTTTTCTTCTCTCTCCTCGCGACGTATACCAAATACTTTTGGAGAACGATGAACCAAGCGACGTGCTCCACCCTCGTGTATACATACTTACTCTCTTATTTAGTTGGAATCGCGAGGGGAGAGGGAGAAGGAAGGAAGGAAAAAAAAAAAAAAACTTGAAAATGCACAGAGTAAAAAAAAATGCGAAGGGCAGACGAGCCCTGACGGGCCATTTGTACCGGCGCGCAAGCCAAGTGCAACTCGAGTAGAGAACGTGGTGTATAGGGGAGAAACTCCATACAGGGGGAAGTTGAGACCCAAGAGCTGCGGTTTCTAGCAAATCGGCGCCAAAACGATGTTACCGCAGCAGCAGCAACGTCGACCGCGGCACTTGTGCACCGAACAAGTACGCTTTTTTCCCCCCTCTTTATTTAACTTCACCCTTTCAGGGATTCATGTATACCTACTTGGTGGGCAACTGTTAGGATTATCGGTATAACTTAAACAGCGAGATGTACATACCTCGTCAGCTTGAAAATCGTTGGCAATGCATATAATATGAAGATTTTCACGGGGTCATCCATCGAATTGTTTGCAGGTTCTCGGTTGGGAAGTCCCCGGGCGTCGGCAATCAGGGCGAGCCGCAAGCGGGCTCTGAGCAGCTCGCCCTACTCGGACCGGCTCGACATCGACAGCATGATACGCTTCAGTCCCAACAGCCTGGCCTCCATCGTCAACGGGTCCAGGAGCAGCAGCGCCAGCGGCAGCTACGGCCATCTATCTGCAGGTATTTAATGACATTGTTATTCCATATAGGTATATATTATCGTTTATCTGCTTTTTTCCTGATGCGCGCGTGTATGTATATGTAGTTCTGTCTCCGGCGACGCGAAAAAGTTAATGCCGCGTTGAGCAGACGATTTGTAATCCAAACGTGTAAGCGCAAGCTTCGCGAATCGATAAATCCGACTAATCCTACGATTACTATACTCTCGCCGTGCCATAACCTCAATTCAAGTTGTAGGGTTATTCGCTCCTATTAATGTCTCTATTCAAGACTATACTATGCGTACACACACGCTGTAGCGTTTCTAATGAGTCACTTTAAAAACAATCACATTCTCTTACATATACCGCACGGGCGCCAACAAAACCATGTACTATTGTCACTCACTGCAGGAGACTCGTTCGTTGTTGCGTTGTTCGGAGTACTTAGGTGCTGTTCTGTGATGTTGGCTGGGTGAAAAGAAATGTTGTCAACTCGTGAGCTTGAGAAATTCGCACAGTAGCCGCGTATCTTACCTATACTTACTTATTGGTACTAAAATTACCGAATGGATGCGCCATCAGCATGCAAGCCGCGCCGATCTGCCGGAAGTGAGGCGCGACTTGTTTGCCAAATGAGAAGAGCAACTGCAGCGTCTATTATCATTCAAGACCGGAGCCTTTAATATATATAGTATGCTGTTGTTTAAATCGCGGCTCGTTCAATTTACCACATAGATATGAAAATATATGTATATAAGTGCATGCATATTACTTACAAAAACAATCGCGTTTGCGCGTTTCAGCGATGAGCCCGGCCCTCGGTATGCACCCGGGCATGCCGCCGCATCTGCAGCAGCTCCAGGCCCACCTGTTGCGCAGTGCCGCGGCGGCCGCTGCTGGCCTCCTGCCGCACGCCCCGCCAGCGCCTCATCCCCTGCAGCAGCCCCAACAGCAATCGGAGGCCCACCCCTTGGCCCACCCCCACGCGCACACTCACGGCCATTCCCACGCGCACGTGCACGCGCACGGCCTAGTCTACCCGGTCTCGCCGCACGCCACCGCTGCCGCTGCGGCAGCCGCCCACCTGGACCATCCAGCGGCCCTCCCGGCATCCAAATCAGAGGTACGTTGTTGTTTTGTTTATACCTTTTTATTCCTCGTTCCCTCTACTTGTACTTTGCTTCGCTTCTTTCTCCCTCAAACTGATTATAATACTTGCCGAGTCGAGGATGCGGTCGTTTCCCGTGTCTGGAGCAGTCGATCCGACTATTCCATCGTTTCTCGTCTCTCCCCTTTTCTCCAAGATTTGTACCTTCATTTATATTTAATTTATATTTGCAAAGAAAGGATTTTACACGAACATCGAGGTCTCGTAGTAACCTTGTCCGCGGCTCATGTATGAGGGTCTATTAGGCCCGAGGCGGGACAAGTTTCAATCGAGCCGTTTAACGAACGTCAAAATCCAACGGTTGAGAAATAAGTACACGGGCACGTTTGATGGAGCCGTTTTTCACACGTTGTACGAACCGTGAAAGTTAGCCGATATCGAATAGGTAGAGTAGTGTATACATATAGGCACCTGGCCATTATTGGACAACTTTATATCCCTGAAAAAACTGACTCGAGACTCGATGATCCGTCATCTCGGGACTGAAAACGTTATCCGTACGTACACCTATATATACGTACATACGGTTACTAGTGCTCCGTTAATCCGTTTAGTACGAATTCACCAAAATGGCATCTCCGGACGAAGTAATCGCGCGTCTTCGTTCCTATGTGGGGTGGTGGACGCAGCATCCATCCCAGACTCCGATGATCCAGATATATATATATAAAACGTAAGGGGTCCACCTATATACCCTGCGCGCGAGTCCTCCCGCGCGCTCGGGCCGCTGTAGTTGGCTCGTTCTCTCGCGGCCGGCCGCTGGGCACCGAGCCCTGATAGGTCATCCCGCGTGGAGGGGTGCCGGAAACCGAGTGGGAGCCCCACCGGCCGGAGAAGGGCAGTCCCCCCGCGACCAAGCTCCCACCCGCAGAGCTCACCTGATCCCCCTCCCCGCGACTGTCCTCCTCCTCTTCTTCTTCTTCTATATATATATATACCCGTGATGCATATATATGCCTCGCTGTATACGATATCCTTGCACCGTGTCTATATTATGTGCCTTTCAATGTATACCTATATGTAACTGTTTACTCGACACCCGCGGGTTCCCTCTGATATGATGTTATACCGATGCCCTTGCCGATTTGCCCATCACCCACGAAACTAAACACAATGGACACTTGTGCAGCAGCTGCACCAACACCAACAACAGACAGCAGCAGCGATCCAGACTGCACAGCAGCAACAACAGACGACGACGACGACCGAGGGCTCGTGTAGGAAGGCCGAGGAGTCGTCGAGGAGATCGGTAACCGCGGAGGCGGACACCTCGACGCGCCGTGGCTCGAACAAGGTGAAGCGCGAGCCGGCGAGCACGACGGCCCTGGCGAGTAGCACGACACCGGCCAGCCACCATCATCCCCAGGGCCTCAGTCCGAGCGAGGACATGCGCGACGAGCCCGGCGACTTTATCGAGACCAATTGCCACTGGAAAGAGTGCGGCCTCGAGTTTCCGACCCAGGTACGTTTTTTATTGGCTTTCATCATTTTTCCTATTTTTTTTTTTTTTAATTCTTTCTTCGAGTACATAATACACGCTCTCACGTATTCCATCTTTTTTTTCCCCACAGGACGATCTCGTCAAGCACATCAACAACGACCACATCCACGCGAACAAGAAGAGCTTCGTTTGCGGTTGGGAGCAGTGCTCGCGCGAGGAAAAGCCGTTCAAGGCCCAGTACATGCTCGTCGTGCACATGCGCAGGCACACCGGTGAAAAGCCCCACAAGTGCACGGTCAGTTGATGTTATCTTCCTTCAATTCGATCATTCAATATATGTACCTATCATAAATGCATAAATCAAGTGGTTTTGCCTACTTTATAGTTCGAGGGCTGCTTCAAAGCTTACTCGAGATTGGAGAACCTAAAGACGCACTTGCGATCGCACACCGGCGAAAAACCGTACACGTGCGAGTACCCGGGCTGCAGCAAGGCCTTCAGCAACGCCAGCGATCGGGCCAAACACCAGAACAGGACGCACTCGAACGAGGTGAGTTATTTCGTATATTTCCATCATTTGGACGGGACGTACAAGTATTTGGTCGATATTCGCAGAAACCGTACGTGTGCAAGGCGCCAGGCTGCACCAAGAGGTACACCGATCCGTCCTCGTTGCGCAAGCACGTCAAGACGGTCCACGGCGCCGAGTTCTACGCGAACAAGAAGCACAAGGGCGGCAGCGGAGGGGGTGGCCACAACGGGCCCGGCACCGGCCACGACGGCAGCGACGAAGCCGGTCACGGCGGCCATAGCAGTCCCAGCCGCAGCGAGGACATGCACCCGAAGACGCCCAGCCTCTCGAGCCCGAGCATCAAGTCGGAGAGCGAGGCCAACAGTCCACCGGGCATGATAATGAACCAGCAGGGCAGTCCCCTGCACGCGACGGCCGGCTGCTCGGACGAGCCCACGGCCATGAGCGTCACCGGCGACATCGGTGTCGCACTCGCGGACGAGGCCTGGCCCGAAGAGCCCGACGACCTTGACATCGCCGATCTGCCGGTCGCCATCCGTGCCATGGTATGCCCCGAGCTTCGAGCGCCCGGCAGTTAACGGCAACGATGAGTCCTTTTGTGTATATAACATTCCTTCCTCGTCCACAGGTCGGTGGTATGGACGCGCAGCAGCAACAGCCGCAGCTACAACAGATGCCTGCCGGTTCCCGTGGCCGCTTGAAGAACCGGTTGTCCGGCAAGCAGCAGCTAGGCCCGAGCTTGTCCCCGCTGTCCGGGCGCCTCGGAAGGGCCGCGCCCTCGTCCCAGGCGGGCAACATCGGCGAGATTAATCGGCGCATCACCGATCTCAAGATGGAGAGCGGCGTGAGCTCGCAGCCCCGGCAGACCAGCCTCGCGGATCTCCAGCTGCGGCTACAGCCGCTTAGCGAGCCGAGGCGCGACAGCAACAGCACCGTCAGCACTTACTACGGCAGCATGAAGTCCACGGACTTTGGCAGTAGCCGGCGCAGCAGTCAGGCTAGTGCCGTCGGGGCCCCGAGGATCGGGCCCCTTGGCCCGGGCAGCTTCTACGATCCCATAAGTCCCGGTACGTCCCGGCGAAGCAGCCAAATGAGTACTGCCTCAGCACGGGTTAATGTTTCAGGCGCGCTGCAAGTTCCCTACTCGAGCAATCTCGTTGTCCAAACGCAAAACATGTCCCTACAGGTGGGTAACGTCACCGATGCAATTGCGGGTTCAGCTCCGCGGGTGCCTATCACTTTCCGTACCAATGATGAATTTCGTGCTGTTACTTTGCAGGGAGCTCACGGCCTCACGGCTAACGATTGGTCGGATCTGGTGAGCCAGTGCCCGGAGCTCGCGGCGGCAGGCGACCGACGTATGTCCGAGCCGGCGCGGGCGCTGCACGGCCAACGAGGCTCGCCGCCCATGCCACCTCGGCCTAGGTCCGCTCAGCTGCCCGAGTTCCATCCTAACCAGGAGGTAGTCCTCGACGAGGTCGGGGAGGGCGAAATGGTCGAGAACAAGCTCGTCATTCCCGACGAGATGATGCAGTACCTGAACCAGGTGCAGGCAGGAATCACTGGCTATCGCACGAGTCCCATGCTGAGCAGCTGCCACTCGCCCATCTGCACGAATCCCCAGCACTGCAGCCAGAAGCCGGCCGCCAACGTCACCAACGCCCAGTGCGGCTACAATAATTCCGCCCCTCTGCAGCAGCAGCCACAACAGCACCAAGCCCAGTGTTACGGCCAGCAGGTGCAAGATGCAAATTACGGGCCTTTGCACAACCAGCCGTCCTTTGGACAGTGTCCGAATGCCCGGCCGGCCCAGGCCACCGTCACCGGCTACTACAACCAGCCCCAGCAGCAGCAACCCCAACAGCAACAATTCGCCCCGAGTGGACACTTTAGCGAGCAGCCCATGACTTCACCGGCAGCGGGTGCCCTTGCCCCGGTAGCTCTCGCTCAGCCCATGCAGGGCGTCCAGCAAAATGGCGCTCAGATGAGCAGAAACTGCGCCCAAGCGCAACCTCAACAGCTGGACCACGCCAATTACTACAATCCGAACTACGGCCCGTGCCAGGCCAACCAGCTCGCCGGCAACTGCGCGGCGCACCCAATGCAACCCGTGCAGCAGACGTGCAGCGCCGGGCACGCCATGCGCCCGGGCGGTGGCTCCTGCCAAGCCCTCGCACAGCCAACTCTCTGTCAACAGCAGCAAATGGCACCTGCCGGAGGGCACCTCGGCACCGGGAACGTCATGCAGCACAATCAGTGCGGCGCGCAGATGAACACCGTCAAACCAGGCGTGATGAGCCCACTGTTGAGTCCCCTCGTGGCCGATCAGTGCCCGCGCTCGGTGGCCTCCTACTGCTCCCAGCCTAGTCCCGCCAGCCAGAAGACCATGGACATGCAGGTGCAGAGCCCGTGCTCTCAGATATCCACCGGCTGCACCCACCCAACTCCCCACTGCAACCTCAACCTGCAAAACGTACAAAGCATGCAGAACGCGATCTCGAAGGAGACGACGACGACGACGACGACGACGACGACGGCGACGACGAGGCCGTGCTCCCAGTACTGTTGTCAGTTGCAGCAGCCACAGCAGACGCAACAACAACCTCTTCATCATCACCAGCACCAGCATCAACAGCAGCGATTCAACGGATGTGGCAACGATTGCCAGTGGACCTACGGGGCCGAGCAGTGTTGTAACGCGGTGGGAGCGGGGGCGGCTGCGTCGATCGGGCCGACGAGTCCTTTAGAAATCCAGTGCCGGGACATAAGCCAGTCGCAAGGCTCGCCGGCCAAGCCGCCCCAGGGCATGCGCCAGGACTCGTACCGTCGTACGCTCGAGTACGTGCAGCAGTGTAGAAATTGGTCGGGCAGTGGTATAGCCCAGGTGCCGGAGACTAGCGTCTCGAGTTCGACGCATCCGCTGTCCCTGCCCCAACCGCTGCCGGCCAGCGCCAATATGATCGTCAACGACATGACCTCCTCCTTGAGCTCGTTGCTCGAGGAGAACAGGTACCTTCAGATGATCCAGTGATCTCATTGCGTTTATTTATTATATGTCTCACTGTGGACTCTCCTCCAACACCATAACTTGTATAGTTTATCGATCGCCAGACTGAGTCTATAATATACAAGAACGGCACCGTGGCTGTCGGTTTTTTTTTTTTTTTTTTTTTTTTTTTTTTTTTTTTTTTTTTTTTTTTTTTTTTTTNTTTTTTTTTTTTTTTTTTCTTCCCCACCCCCAAGTGCCAATTGCCTTTCGCAACTACTAGTACCTTCGACTGTGCTCTTTGCAACTGTATAACTTGTTAATTCAAAGTTCAAATTTTGCGATAGTTTTTGTAACGCCCGACGAAATAAATTCAGCTGTGGGACTATTTGATGATTTTTCGTCCATACTTAGTATAAATTTTAAGGAAAAAAAAGCGTTTTACAACAAGACGGAGAAGCATCTCACGTATACATTAGACAAGTATATAATAATGTACATAAATGAGTATATGTGTATTTTAAGGGAATATTTCGTTGAAATTATGATTAATCAAGTAAAGTAACTTCTCTGTTGATTAATTGTTAAGTCTTTTGGAAAGATTGTTGAACCGATTATTAACGAGAAGTATACGATGACGAGTGGGGGTCGTTTTCGACTACTGCCGTCGTCATCATATCTATTTTTTGGACTACCTTTAATAAAGCGACGAGACAAACTGTGATATAGCTGAAAAATAGATGTTTCTTTTTTTTGTTTTTTTTTTTGTTTTTTTTTTTTTTGTTTTTTTTTTTTCTCAAGAGCGGCGCGATGCCTGCACATAATTGTAAGTATTAGTCGATCAATGAAGAGGCAATCAAGTAGTTTCTTCAAAGTGGCCAATATTAGTTGTTAAGAAAATTTGTAGATAACTGTCCATATGTAGCGATGATAATTTTAAGTAAAAATAAAGACTCGTTTGTGCATTATACGTGTACATATAGCTGTATCGACATTAAGTGAAATTTAATTAATATACTCGATCTGTATGTACAACAAAAGCTATATAATATACGCGGTGGCTGATGAAAATTTCTCGTAAGTAACGAAAAAACGCCTATAGGGACTTAAATTTAACGTATTTGTTTTGTTACGAAGATTATTGTATTATGTTCTGTATTTCGTTTTCGACACTTAGTATTTTGACAATTGAAAAAAAAAAAAAAACAAATTAAGAGAACCAGCAGTATATTTGTACATGATATTATTGAATACGACTGACTATTTTAATTGTAATTAACGAATCGCTCGATCGCAGCGTTTGTAATATTTTTTAAGCTGAACAATAAAGAGTGCCTTTTTACAATCCAAACGATTTACTTTGGAAATAAGACGAGTACTACATTGTTAAGACAAACAAATAAAAATCCAATTGAATAGCAATGATCGCTCGATGATTTTTTTATTCAAATATGCGTAAAATACAATGTACCCAGCGAGAAACGATTTGTTTCTTCGTTTCCAGAAAAACATCGCTGCAACGGGTATTGATAACATTATCGGTTCGTTCTTTCGTCAACGGGTCGCGGCGATGGTACGATGTAAAAAATACAGTCGGTTAAAAATCGATCGCACACACTCGCGCAGTAAAGTCGGACGGAAGGAGGGCTATGCAAGTAAGTCACCAAAAAAAAAAAAAAAAAAAAAAAAAACGCATCGCAAGGTAAATCATATCAATCGTCGGCTGGAGCCTCCCTTGGGCCATCCCCGTTTTTAGCAGCGGCGTCCACCAGCTCCGACTGCAGCCTAACGACGGGCAGAACGTCCGGCATCGGGGGAGCCACTGGGGCGGGCCCGTACGCCTCGTGGAGCTCCTCCAGCCTCGTACTCAGAGCCGAGCCCCGTCGGTTCGTGTCGTTAACTTTCCTGACCAGCCACTCCGCCTGCTCCTCGAGGCTCTTGAGCCGAGCCGCCCTGGCGTCGAGTGCCGTCGTCCCCTCTCGCACCGGCAGCGCCGAACCAAACTGGGACGTTTCACCGCTCGCGACTACCGGTCGCACGGGAATCGGGCCTATGCTGAACACCGGTGTCGCCACCTCGTCCGTCTCCAGGAGGTCCTCTATCACCTCGGCGAGGGCCTTGTCCAGCGGGTCGATCGGCGCATCTACGGTCTACACGGTAAATAAAGAAATAACGTACGTTGGCAATTTCCAGCCGAGCAGAAAGTCAGACGCTTACGCCGATCGTCGTAGCACCAGTGGGATCTGACTCCGCGGGTGCCGGGGTCTGCTGTCCCGACGTGGTCGACGGCGAAGTTACCTTGGACTCGGAGAATTCCGTGTCGGTTGGCAGCTCGGACTCCGTGTCGGGTGACATCACCCTCGCGCCGTCCTTTATCGTGGAACAATTAACACATATGTATATATTCAAGTAAAATCGACGCCTTCTTTTTTCCTTGTGATTTTGTAGGGGCAGTACCGTCTGTTTCATTGCACTTTGAAGATGTTGATTTATATACATTACTGCTCGTTCGGATGATCTTTCGTTTGTTCCCGTGCAATTGTTATGGTGGTAAAAACGTTTGCTTTATTTTTAATTTTTGCTTTCCCACGGTGGTTAAAAGAGACGGTACTACCACTAAAGAAAAAAAAAAAAAAAACCTTTTTCGATCGCCTGCGTGGCCTGACTCGCTTGCCGATCACATCCCTGTCGTCCTCCTCGTCGGACTCTTCCTCCCTCTCGTCGCTGAATCCGCTCTCACCGCTGCGAGATATATGGGATGGGTTAATCGTAACGGGCAAATTGTACACGACCTATATAATATCATGTTTACCTGTTGCTGAAGGCGCTCGCGTGCGACACCAGGGCCTTCCTTGCGGCAAACTCCCTGCGCAAGCTGTTCCACTCGATCTCGGTGTTGGTGTTCTTTTGGCGGGCCGATTCCCACTTGACCCTGCAATACTCGAGCTCTTGCTTCAACTCCTGCAATATCTTCCTCTTTTGCTGGAGCTCGTAGCGCAATATCTTCTCGTGGGTGTGCAACTGCTGGTGCTGCGCCTGCATTCGCCCGACCACGTTCCACGTCTTGCTCAGCTCGGACGACACGATCGACAGCCTTTGCTCCTATTTTTTTTTTTTTCATTCCAATCGGTTTATAGTCGGACCATGTGTGGTAAACATCACGTACAATAAAACGCATATTTATATGTATACCTGCTCGGAGAGCTTTGTCTCGAGGTGGCTGTTGAGCTGCTTCATGCGGTTCATCTCCTTCTCGACGAGCTTCTTCTCGAGTATGAGCTCCTTGAGCCGGATGTACGTCTTGCTGACCGATATGACGAGCTGCGGGCCGGTCGGCGTGTCCACGGACTTGTAGCAGCTGTCGGGCGACGACTCCAACAACGAGTTGGCCGCCCCGTGCTCCGGGGTGTCCGTGGCTTGCTGGCAGCTCAGCAACTCCAGCAGGATGCGCCACACCTATCGGTAAGTACATCGACCGAGATTATCATCATTTACTGTTTTCTTTTCGAGATTAGATTATAATGGGGTTGCAAGGTACGCGTACCTTTGGGAGGTTGTCGGCGATGCTTTCCTCCTGGAGCTCGTCCTCGCCCTTGCGCCCGTCGTCGCAGTCGTCGCGATCCCGTCCGTCCACCTGTTCGACAATGTCGAGCAGCAGTTTGGGCAGGGCTGCGGCTTCGGTGCCCTTTTCCTTGGCCATGCCGGTTATCAGGTCGTGGTTCTCCTGCGGGACGTGGTTACCGATTTGTGATATTGTATAAAAGGGAAGGGGGTTGTTGTACCTGTAGTAGACGAGTCAGCCGGTCGAGGTCGAGGGACGAGGCGCCGAGCAGCATCTGGCTGAAGAGGCTGTTTATGAGGGTCATCTGGTTCTGCAGGTCCCGGCAGTCGGCCTTTGCGAGCCCCAGTTGGGACTCGAGGCTCAGTATCTCGCTGTCCTGGCTGTCGACCTGTTATTTTTTTTGTTAAAATAACGAGAGTGTCAACGGAGAAAAAACGTATGGGATAAGAGAAGAAAGAACCTTGTCCTCGGTCTTCCCGAGCTCCTCCTCCAGGCTTCGTTTGTCCTGGGCGAGACTCGCGTTCTCGGCCCTGAGCTCGGCCACCTGTCGCGAGCGCTCCTCCCTCAAGTCCATGAGCATGCGGGACCTCTCGTCGCAGAGCTGCCGCGCCCGGGCAATGTCGCCCAATTGGGACTCGGCCTCGCGGCGTATCTCGTCCGTCTCGGCGAGCAGCCGCAACCTCGGCGCCTCGGCCAACCTGGTGAGCAGCTGTGCCAGCCGGTCCTTCAGCCCCGCCGTCTGACGCCTACGCTCCCGCAACCTCTCCCGGCCCTCCTCCCCCATCCGGCCCAGAATCCCTATGCGATCCTCGTTCCCCTCGGCATCGCTCTCCAACCGGAAGCGCAGGTCGTCCGTGCGCTCCAGCTGCAGACGCAAGTTCAAGCTCACCTCGTCCGACACCTACACCGTTCGTCATATGTATACCTGCTCATCCGTGGGATGACTCAAATGGGTCCTACCTTCAGGAGGTCGAGTAGCCTGAGAACTTCCACGTGCTCCGTGGCCTCGGCCTCGGCCAAGTTGGCCTGCTCGAGTAGCCTCGTGGTCTCCGAGTGGGCTTGCCTCTCGGCCTCCAACTCGCTCCTGATGCCCTCCATGTCCGAGGATATCTTGGCGATGGCGCGTTGCCTCGCCTCGCGCTTCAGGGCCAGCTCCCTCCTGAACTCCTCGTTCGCTGTGCCGCTGTTGCTTCTAGCTTCCTCGTCCCGCTGCCTCTTCTCCTCCTCGCATTGGAATGTCTCGAGCAGCCTCGCCCTCTCGAGCCCCGACCTCCTCAGCTCCTCCAAGCTCTCGTCCTTCTCCCTGCACTGCCGCTCCGACTCCTACAAATGTCGCACACGTCAGTCGCCGGATGGACGAAGGTTTTTTTTTTGTTCCGTGTGATACTCTCAACCTCCAAGTCCCGCGTCAGCCGCTCGACGAGCAGCCTCTGGTGCTCCAGGTCCCGCGCCAGCCCCTCGCTCATCCTCCTCTCCCGTGGCTTTGACTCCCCCTGTCTCGTGGCCGCTCTCCTCGGTCTCTTCCCCGACACTCTGCGACTCTGCGGTTTGCCTGTGGGTGTGTGTCAGAGAAACGCGTCAATAACCACCACCACCACGTCGATTAAGGGTAATTCCTCACCAGTGCCGTCGAGTGCCCTGGCCACGAGGACGCGGCACTGCTCGAGGACGAGGCCGTGGGATGCAGCGAGTTGTCGGTTGGCCGTCGCCAGTTGAGATATCGTGGCCCAGGTGCCCTTAGGTTGACCACCATCATCGTCCGGAGCCTGCATCTGAGGGATTTTTTCTCAACGCTCGGTTTTTCCCGCGCTGGTGTATACGTATGCAACAAAACAAAAAAAAAAAAAAAACAAAACAAAAACAAAAACGGACGCGCTTTGGAGTCCGCGATCGACTGAGCCTTATTTTGCTTTGTTCGCCGATCGAGCGTTTTATCGGGGGCGAGAGCCGATGATGCGGTGCGATGGGCTTATAAATAGATGCCGCTGCAATAGCGCAGGGGGGTATCGGAAAATTAGCGAGAGGAAAAAGAAAAAAAAAAACAAAGGGTGTATTTTAAGACCGGGAGTGAAGTGCATCGCACAATGGAGACGCGCGAGCTTTGGGATTTAAAGACGAGCGCCAAAAGCGCCGAGGAGCTGGAACGCGGCCAAAGAGTGGATGCATGCGTTCTTTTGTTGGAGTGTGGCGATTTTCTGTTTTTTTTTTTCTTTCGAGCGCGGGTTTGTCACTTTGGCGTCGAGTTTGAAACGTATACATGCCTGGCTGGGAGCCGATTTTCTCGGCGATCGGTAAGGCTCCACGGGCGTTGAATCACCGACATGTGCCGAGTCGCAGGTCACTGAGTCGGGATCGTGGTTCGACGAGGGTCTACCGTTGACGAGTCCCATATTGCTGGTGGCTAGCCAGAGCTGCTGCGTATATGACTCCCTGCCGGTGCTCCCTCGTTATACTTCTTGGCCAAACTCGCTCGATCGACTGAAATCACTCACACACACGCGGAGAAAATCGTAAATACTTAATTTCACAGCTGCAGCCTCGTAGACAATTAGTCGTAATACCCGATGCGCCAGTTTTAATATTTGGCTCGTGTACGAGACAAAGCCGGAAAGTTTGCCGATTGCACTTTTCGTGGAAAGCAAGCGAAGTCGCGGTGAGGAGGGGAAGGGGGGTGACGATACAATTTCGAACCGCACGAATCATTGGGTCGCGCGTGGCGCTGAATCGACCAAAAAAAAAATAGGGACCGCGGAGTTTGTGATACGCGCATTTATAAATAGGCTCGTTCAACGAAAGCTCGAGTTGTATATAATATGTATATATGCGCGAGTCCCGTGTGGAGTAATTAGATGTCGTATGGAAAAATGTCCGTTAGCCGGGAGACGATGACACGGGGAGGAGGAAAACAAAGGAGCTTGCGTGCGATACGTGTATAGTGTTCCGCTCGAAATAGCCTGGACCGCGAGCTGGGGATCGAAGCTTTCTCCCTCGGGAAGAGCCAAAGGGCCGTTTTGCCTACCTGGTATCCCGGTTTTCCTCGTCATTCCCCTCCTCCGTTGCGTGTCCGGTGGTGCTTTCTTTGTTGTTCGTTATTCTTTTGTTCCGAATTTTTTCGCCCAAAGCAAAGAAGAAGGGAAGCACGAGGGGGATCGACGCTGACGATAGCCAGTCGCTCGGCAAACTGATGGGCCCTTGGCCGAGGGCCAAAAGCTCGGCGCGGCCGCCGACACCACCGTTCGCTTTTGCTCTAAAAATAAAGCTCCTCTCCCTGTGTATATTCACTCGATCCGCCCCACCTTCTTTCTTTGTTTCTTCTTTGTTGACCGAAAGTCGTATTTAATCGCGTTGAGGGACTCTAGCAGGAATTAGTCGTTAATGTTGTACGTCGATGTATTGGAAAAAAAAAAATAAAGATTAATCAACAAACAAGTTTTCAGCTTTCTTTTTATTCGTAGGGTAGAACAGGTTGACTGAAATTAAGTACCTACCGTGTCGAACGTAGGTGTCGATGATCAATGAGTTCATTTTGTTTAAATTGATTAATTCCATTTCTGTTTATCTGTACAAAAGTACATAAATATATAAATTTTAACATTTTCCGCAAAATGACCAAGGAATCGCTGCTTTATCGGTTGATAGTAACTTACCTCGTCGAAACTCTCTCTCTCCCATCGCTTGCCGTCAGCCAGTGCTTTTGACGCGTTTATATTTTCATTCGTCATCACCAGATGCCCCCACATTTTTCACACTACGATCCTCCAAGGCTCGTGTTGTTGTCACTCCTGAAACGATTTTCAAACATTCAAGTGCAAGACTATTGATAAACTTTCGAGAACGTTTTTTGCAACTTTACGACATAAGAACCAAACGCGTGGACTAGTCAAGGAAAAATTTCGAATCACATTGTAGAAGAACAAATTTATCTTGACTCAATAAACATCCCCCGTATATTCATCACAGAGAGGCAGCTATTTTTTTTTTTTTTTTTTTTTTTTGTCACCAAAATAAAACGTACAATCAACGAAAAAGTCGTTGCAAAAGCTCGAAACGACCAAAAACGAACCTGGAAGCTTTCGTCCCAGCAGACGGTAAAGCTCGGCCGTTCGAACCGATTGGCGCCAGTCGCGAGCGCTCAGCCCCCATTGGTGGAACCGCGGCGCGGCGAAAGCTTGCGCAACACAAACTCGTCGACGCAGAGGGGGAGCGAGCGCGTCGTCATCGGAGAGTCAAAACAAACGTGCAGTACATACGCAAGAAAAGGAAGAAAAGCAGAGAGAGAGAGAGAGAGAGAGAGAGAGGCAAAAGCTGCCGAGGGAAATCGAGCGAGCGGAGCAGCAGTGGCTGACTAGTGCACTCGCTGTATTGGCCGACGCGCCGATGCCAAGGCTTATATGCTCGGTAGTGTACTGTTGAGCACGGAGCTAAAGGGGAGCTGAGTGTGTCCTCTCGCGCGTTTTCGTTCGTCTCCTCCCCCCCCCCCAGAGTCAATTTCTCGTATTTTCTTTTCTACTTTTTATTTTGTTTTTTTTTCTTTTCCTCCTTGTACGCATTTATTTCTCCGTGCAGCCAGAGAAAAAGAGGCCCCTCGTGCCCCGTGAAGGTGTGCTCGTGTGCAGCGGCTGTCTAGGCCCAGCGACGAATGAGCCCCAGCCAACGCACCACGACAACAAAAACTAGGAGTCGCGGAGCAGCAAGTACACATCCAGGTGACAATTTCTCTATTTACTTACACACAGACGCCCGTGTCGCCCCTTTTTTTTTTTTTTTTTTTTTTTTTTTTTTTTTTTTTTTTNAGTACAGTAGATTCGTATTTATTTTTTTGTGCCCCAAAACGTGGACCATCCAGCAATTATCCATCGCAAAAGCTCCGAGGGGAGGAAAGCCCCCCCCCCCGATATGATAGGTATATCACCATCAAACACACATCCCCGCGGGAGCGAGTGGCGAAACAACTCGACTGGCCGACGAGCTCGTCCACACGCACGAACACACACACACATGTATACACGTATATCGGAGGGGCGGATTCTGGAATATTCCTCAAGTATTTATATCCTGCGTAACGAGAGCGGAGCAGCTCAGGAGTGTACGGTCCGAGCCAATACATATATATATATACATGCGCGCGGCCAAAGTAACCCAGGCCAATATCACCGGCTCGCACGAGTATGTGTGTAAGCGAATAGAAGGAGGTAGAAAGAGAGAGAGAGAGAGATAAACGACGACGACAAGCGACCGGGGGAGAGGGAGGAAAGAGGGTCTCGTGCAACGTTCCTTTTCGTCGTCGGCGTTGGTGATTATACGACGACGACGGCGAAGAAGAAGAAGAGGTGGAGGAGACGAGGTCGGACGACTCGTCGTTGGATATATGCATGTATAATATGAACGGGCGCACGCGTGTATACATACATATACATATGTAGGCGAGAGAGGTCGAAGGTTGAGCTCTATCTGTTGCAACGCGAAAACGAAGCGAATGGTGTGTGATTGTACGATCCTCTGATGGGTCGTGTGCATAGATCGCTTGGAAATCGAGCTTTCAAAGCTCCGGAGCTTTTTTCTTTCCTCGGACCTTTGATGCGTCAAAGGGACACCTGAGTTTATACTATTTTTTGTTTTTTCCCCCGAGGGCTAGAGTTTGGTTATTGCGCTTTGCACTGTTATCATGATACAAGGATGGAAAAAAAAAGAAAGAAAACGTAATAAGAGCCATAGAGGTCGGTCGCCCGCAATAGCGATACAGTTGCGACACATGCGCATATAAAAAGGACACTCCGAGCCAACGCAGAGAGACAGAGAGAGAGAGAGAGAGGGAAAAAAAGCATGCACTGGTTGCGGGGTGCAGCGAGGAGACGGCAATATTTTGCAAACACAAGCGCTCGCATACACATATATAAGCGTATAGGTATATGATATATATGTGTATTACATGCGCATGCAGCAAAGATAGAGAGAGAGAATCGTCATCGTCGTCATCGGGTTTCGAGCGAGGGGCTGCTCTTATACATGTGTACGTACACATAACTGCACTCGGCAACGGATACACACTCCCAAGTCTCCCTTCTCTATCTGTCCGTTCGTCCGTCCGTCTGTCTGTGTCCCTCTCTTTTTTTTTTTGCGCTCCTTTTGTCAAGTCCCTCTGTCTTTGTCTCGGCGAGGGTGTCTGGCTCGAGAGGGCGACGAAGGGGAAGGAAGACGAGGAGGAAAAGAGAATCCGAGCGTATGTTTGTATGGGTATACATACGTATATACGTGTGCTTGCACGCGCGCTTGCCGTCATCGTACAGTATATATATATATATGCGGGTGCGTGCTCTCACAAGCGTGTATACAAATTTATCTCTCCCCCATCCCCCTCTTCCCTCCAACGATTAAATCTCTGTGTCGAATTTCATCGTCGCGCTGATTAATGCGCTACTGATAAACTCCGCGTAGTATGTCTTACGGTTGAATTGGTCAACGGTCAACAGATAGTAGCATATTATCATATCAAGTTGCGTTTCGTGTATTATCTCGCAAAATAACTATACTTATCGGGTGCGTATACGTGCGTGGGTGTATATAATATATAATATAAGGGTGGGGGGGGGGGCGGTAAAACCGAGTCGGTGTTCAGTTGGTAGATATCGGTAAGAGAGTCTCCGGTCCTAGCAGTTGGGAAAAGTGCATGCCCGCGGAGTAGTGCACGTCATTCGGGTATATTTATATACCCTGGCAGTTTTATTTTTTCCTTCGCGAGAGCGAGAAGACCATACTTACGGTAGGTGTATTTTTTTTTTTTTTTTTTTTTTTCTTTTTTGTACGAATCGACGTAAAGAAATACATCCCCCCCCCCTCGCTCGCGGTTCATCCGCAGTGCCCACAACTCTTCCGTTCCCTCATCCACTGAACGAAATCCTTACGGATCCTCGCGCGCGCGCCAAGTTTACGTGTGTACATGTTATAGTCACGGGACTCGTTTTTTTTTTTTTCCCCCTTTTTCTCTCTCCCCCTCGTCCTCTTTACTTATTGTTCCACTTATTTGTTTGTGTCCATTTATTTATGCCCCTGCATCACCGCTGTTTCCCTTTATTATACATTGTTGTTTCTTGCACATCCAATGTGTACGTACACGTCGGTACACGTGCGATATGTATACGAATATTGCGTTGGAGCGCGTGCGGGAAATTTAATCGATCCCTCCCTCCCCCCGTTGAAAGCACCGCCGGGCCGATATTTCCCTTTTACGACGATAAATTGATTGCTTTACGATCTCGTCGCCTATACGTGCAGTCGTATACCCATTACTTTCAAGTTTGCCAATTGCCAACTTTTTCCGATAAAGACAGAGAGAGTGGGACCTTTTTTTTTTTCCTTACGAGTCTCCGAAACTATAAGTGAATCCTACGAGATATATATTTCAACCATAAACGTCAATGGTGATGGCGTTGGGTCGGTTACTACAAAACAGAGACTAGCTATGAGAATAACCGGCTCATCAGGTATACGAGGACGCGCGTTTGATTATTCGAGTAATCAATTACATCGAACGTATAGTCTCGTCAGCTTTACCATCGCGATATTTGCTCCCGTCCAAGCTGTGTAAATTATATATATATTATATACGTATACTTGCTACTGGCCGATAATCATCATAATTACAATTATTCAGTGTGTACATATTATACGTATCCCTCGATTTTGATAAACTACTCTCGTATCACTTGAGGATAAGTATATTCACCATACATTCGACAATTAATAAACCACAGAGGCGTAAATATAGAACACGTGCGTTTCGATACCTAAAAATAAGTAGCACATCACATATTTTTTTTTTTTTTTTTTTTTTCACGCAATCGGGGGTACGTATTTACAAAACATGCAGCTATGATAATTTTTTTTCGAGCCGAGCGCTGAGGCACAATAATATATTATGTACTCGGCGGAGAAAACGCTGGAACGACACAACGTGCGTGCGTCACTTTTATTTGCCGTTTCAATAAGAGAAAACGGCCCATCGCCGCTGACGCAATAACCCGCGCGCCGATTAGCGACGCGCGGGATCTTGCAGTGCTTGTTGTATTGTTTTTCTTTTTTTTTTTTTTTCCTCGATAATTATATTTTTCTCAGAAAAACAACACGAGTCTTGTAACGATGAGTCAATAAAGTACTCCACTGGATCTATCTTCTTCTTCTTCTTTTTTTTTTTTCCGCCCAATCACCACGAAAAATCATGCATTCTCCCCTTTGTTCGCGATCATCGAGTCAAACCAATTTATACATCAGCGACGAGCTTTGGTGGGCTCCCGTCTGCGTTTTATGCATTATTCAAAGTACCTTGCACCCGCCGATCTTTTTATTTAGCCCCGAGAGAAGTGCATGTAGCTATATAGGTAACGAACCCTCTTTTTTTTCTCTATCCCCTTATATGTATACATAAAAGATGCATCGATTTTTGCGTTCCATGTACACCTTCGCGGCAGCTATAGTATCATATTATATTAAATATTCCTTTTTATTTTAATCGCCATGACTTATTCAATTTTAAGCCTACAGCCCATTGATTTTTCACACGAAGGATGCCGTACACACGGCGACACGCGTCAATGAAAAACTCGACACGTGTGTGTGTGTACTTGCATGTATATATTTTGTATCGTTGCGTAAAAAAGTATAATGTCACGGTGGAAGTGACAACACACACACACACGAGTGTTTCGGGCAATTTTATTTTATTTTTTTTTTTTTTCCCACCGTCATCGTGCCGAATCACGCACATATATATATGCACGTATGGATGCACACGCGCGGCCTTCGTTTCATTATGCGCCCAACGACGAGAGAGATATAGAGACTAGAGGATCGGTTGCGTCGGTTGACAAATAATAGATACCCCCCGTACGGAAGAGCTCCCGAGCCGCTCCTCCTTCCTTTTTATCTCTCCGTACTTTTGTTCTTTGGGTTTTTTTGTCGCACGGTGATTATCAAATTTATTTTTATTTTTTTTGCCTTTCCACGCGCATGAAAAAAGAAAAAAAACGTCTCTCGAAAAAAAAGGGCGTCTCGCACGAAATGGACAATCGACGCATATTTGACAAAGAAATAAGTACGAATCGCGGCGCTGTTTGGCGCGCGAGAGAGTACAAGGTATAACTATACGCATATTATACGCATCAGAGGAAGGGAAAAAAAAAAAAAGAAAGGCAGAACAATGAGGCAATTGTGCCGCGGCGGTCGGGGGCGGTGTTGTAACATTACACACGAGCCGTGAACTCTTTATCCCCTATACGTATATGTACACAACGGTGTGTTGTCTCTCGCGTGCGATTGCGTATGTACAATCTTTTGCCCGTAAAGAGAAAAAAATGTACTACCCACATGAAAGAGTATCGAAGGACAGTCCAAGTCGAAAACTCACAGCTAAACCCCATATGGTGGTGTGGTCGAATTTACTTCACATCCATATTCTTATTACCATGTGGATGGTCGCGTATATTGTATTGTTTGCGCACCAAAAGTCCCAAGAAAAAAAAAAAAGCAAAATCGCATCGGTATTTTGTTGTTGCCGCTGTATATCTTGAGTTGAGCGATGATATAAAAAAAAAAAGAGGAAAAAAAGATTCCAGCCCGAGATGCAGCAGCGGAGAATTTACAAAAAAAGAGAACGTAATCAAGTATATAGATTACATACTTATATAAAACTTTGACGGTGTGCTCTTCTCTCTTAATTGCATTGGACATTGGCGCGCACGGCGATGGTGCACGATGAGAGGCAAGACCCGATCGACGCGACATTTCATATATACCTGAACATAATATACTTATATTACATGTTCAAGTCAGTCCTCGATGCACAATACTTATACTTTACGTATCGATCTGCTCACTGCCGGTGTGCCTGCAGGCATCAGTGGTTTATCATACATACGTAAATATATATGTATACCTATACCTGTGCTGTGCGGCTCTCCTCCTCCCGATGGCCGCAAAAAACTCTCTTCTGACCCAACTTACTTTCTTTCTTTTATATTTCATGTGTGCGCATAATGCCTTCTCCACCCCCCTCTGTCATCCGCTTTCTCCTTGACGTTTGGCTCGATCGCGTCTTTTATCTTTTCTTCCATTCTTCTGCTTTTTTGCCCTTTATCTGTACTTCTCGAGAGCTTGCACACGAGGGCCTGTACCTCTATCTCTGCTTACCGATATATGTGTATGTATCATGTATACCTATACCGTAAGCCGCTGGCGCGGAACTTGAAACTTACTTACTGGTGAAAAAAAAACCTCTACCTCATCGCGCTCTGTGTGTACAGGTGCCCTTTTTCTTTTCATCGCACATTGTTTTTTTTTTTTTTTTTTCTTTTTTACATTGCACCGAAAAGAAAAAAAAAAAAAAAAAATAGATCGCGTGGCCCCCAACGAAATCTCGTAATTTCAATTTATACCTCCGCGTAATGTACACACGGCTATTTATATTAAAGGAGTTATTGATAAAACAATCGGGTTTTTCGATAATGTACGAATATACATGTACACCGGGGCGTATACGACAAAATGTTGCACCCAAAGAGAGATTGTAGAGCCGATGTCCAAATGTACGACGATAGTATACGAGCAATTGATGATTTGTCCATTTTGAGAGAAGTACGTATACAGGGTATAGAGATACATTTTTCAAAGATTTCAACGGCACAAAGTGCACGGAGGCGGGACACCTGTAATACGAATGTCGATCGGAGTGGAGGAAAGGGGAAGAAAGTAAAAGGGCCAGCGAAACGAACGTTAAATTAAGAGACACGTGTTTGGCAAGAGTAGCGATTAAAATTATAAGAACGGGAGTCAAGGTCGTTTCCCTTGGGGCGTGCATGGACGCTCGTCGGTGTATGTAATAATATATGTTAACGGCGGTCCAAACTAAATCGTTACTTTGAAGAGGAGAGAACGGCCCCGGTGCTCGTATATGCATCCCAAATGTTGGAAGGAAGCCCAAGCGTGGCGCATGCAGCCTCGTAACGATGGACATAGACGGATTTTATATACTTAACGCCGCGTTACGGACTGCACCTCGCGTGACCGGTGACTCTCTTCTCTCTCTCTCTCTCTCTCCGGGGGGGGGCTTACATACATGTGCGTTACATGAACACGTGTAGGTATGTATATACATATTATGGGTGTGCGACGTCAACGACTTTAAATTATATATACGCTGGTCCGTCGCCGGTTATACGGCACCGATTTATTACCCCCCTCGTTCCTTTTGCAGCTCTTTGCTCGATCTCCTCTTGCTCTACCGTATCGACTGTACATATATTTGCATGCGTCTCACGATTTCTTTTTTTTTTTTGTTGCTATTTTCTTTGCAGATACTAACGTGACTCTCACTAGTCTCGGTGATTTTTGCTTCATCCCTGATCATCCGCGGTCAAATATTTACCGATCCATTGCTACGTAGACTTTTTATCCTTTTTTTTTAATTCGCTTGTTCGCTGATGCATGACCCCATTTCGGTCTTATTTCAATAAGTAAAGGCGCGAGTCGGTGAATCTTCGCTCGTACCTCCGTAGGTATATTCAACCGTGTCGTATATAGAAGTATGGGTAAAAAAAAAAAAAAAGTCCCTCCATGTGATATTATATGTAGCTTGTCACGCGTGTTTCACCCATCGAATTGTTCGAACCCCATCGTCAGATGTATCAACGATTATGATATTTAACCACGGCACCGTCGATCGAGGTGTCACCTATACGAGATGGTCAAATCACGCAACCGGCCCTCTACAATAATTATAATGTATACGTGTATATATATACACACACACATTGCGCCGCTAGGATCTTTCGTAACGGCGGTCTTCTCCTCTTCGCGGCGCAAATCTCCCGGCACAGCTGTCTTGGGCTTCGCTCGGAAAGCCCCGGCACACCTACTATCGAGTACCGCAGAGGCTTCCCCTGATCAGCGTTTCTCTAGGATTGCCTGACATCATCGCGGCCTGTGCCTATATATCTGCCCTGTTTGCGAATGCGCCACGTTATACACACTCCGTCCACCCACCCACACGCAAATGTGTATATAGCCTAGGTACAGGTACCCTCGTCCACGCGATAGGGCTGCATTGGTATCCGACCGTAATCTCGTCATCGACATAATTATAATACAGGTATATACACCTACGTGTACTCGCTGTAAGTAGGTACTTGATCGAGTGGCGATTGACCAACGTACGATACACTAACGTAATATATGTCGGGTGGCTCGCAAAATTTAAATCAAATTGGTGGTAGCTACACAACTATGTGCAACTCATATTAATTTACAGTTTTTCTTTTTCTTCGTATATATATATTATATATGTGTACAATGCACGTGATCCGTGATTCGGACGCGTGACATCACGAGCCGGTTTCCATGTGCAACTTTCATTCGACGTGCCTCTTATCCTCCCCCTCTGCTCCGCTCAAGTTGCGACATCGGTGATTCACTTTTGCCGATTTCCCCGGCTATGATGATGCCTATCCAATGTACTTTGTTCATGAACGATCCCTCGCTCCGTCTAATTGACACTTTGTTATTTATTATTAATAATCTCGTCATTGTCACCCGATGTCTCAACACACTTTTATCGTTATTCTTCATAGTTCTTTGTACTAGGTGTGCATGTTGGAAAAAAAAAAAAAAAAAAAAAAAATCGGTATATAATGAATCGTACATATATGCGGAAAGTGCATAATGTCTCCTGTTGCAGCTAAATGAGGCTGATGGAACCGCTTGGGGTCGATCTGGAGGTAATCGAGGTATCGGCGCTCAAACGATGGGCCGATTTTCCGACGCAGCACCGATTCAGCGATTACTCGAGGGCCCTCGGCAATGCGGCCCAATACTCGGCCAGTCCGTTCCCGTGTCAGCCCCTGCTCAACAATAAAATCGCGTTATGGTAAGCCTAACAGATACCTTTATTTTATTTCACTCGGTGAATATTGTCGGTTTAATTGTTTTTATGCTCCTCTCTCTCCTAGGACTGGGGATTTGACGTCTCTGCGAGTCGACGCGATCGTCAATTCGACGAACGAGACTATGGATGACAACAGTCCTGTGTGCCAAAGAATTTTTCATCGCGCCGGGCCGGGCCTCACCAAAGAAATTTACAACGAAATCAAGGGTAGGTGTACGACATTCGTCCAAATCTACAATTTGTTTGCTCGACGCTGTTACTGATAAAAAAAAAAAAGAGCCCTCAATTATTTAGGTAACGCGTAACTGGTGATCGAAAAATGTAACGATTTGGAGGAAATAATTGAATATACTTGTTTTATTTATCCTTACCGGTGAATTCGCGACAAATTTTTGGTTTGAAAAAAAATGAAAAAACCAACTGTTCGTACGTGGTAATTAAACTTTGAAATAACTTACGGCTTTGTATGCTCTTTTCAGAGTCATTAAAAAAAAATTAAAAAATAATATACGAGTGTAGGTACGTATTTTTTAACGAGCAATTAACGCGTGTCCATTGTGTCGTCGCGATAAGTGTGCAGATAATTATCCAGGGAACGAAAATATATATCTATAGCCCGTGAGGAAGTGCAATCGTTTTGTCAAAGTGTGAAAATCGTGTGTGAAAAATATGGCATCTATACGCACAGTGAGTGCATAAGGTAAGGATTCGCGAAAATCCAGGTTACGTGAAACGTCGAAGCGTAAGGGCTTCGCTCGATGCGATCGATGTGTAAAACGTTTCAAGAGTGTGTTTATCTTATCTGCACTAAATTCCTAGTCTCGTCGATAAGTGAGCGAGAGCGATGAATAATGCCTGGATAAATAAATGTGTGCCATTTGTACAACGCGCCTATACGTATGAAAAAAAAAAAAAAAAAAAAAAAACAGCAGTAATATGGTAAAAGCATGTGATTATTATTATTTTTTTTTTTTAATAGAGATAATGCGAGCGACAAAAATTTTATTTTGCAGAGTGTAAAACCGGCGAGGTGAAGACGACGCAAGGCCACAATTTGCCCGCTCGTTTCATCATCCACACCGTCGGACCCGTTTACAACATTAAATACCAGACCGCGGCGGAGAATACGCTCCACTGTTGTTACAGGTTAGTCATGAGCTATATACCTGCACATTGTGATGGTAAAAAATTTTTTTTTTCGCCCAACTGCGATAATACAAGATGCATATATGGATGGGTGTGCGTGTGTACGTACGAACGAGAGACAAACAAAAATTTTCTTCGTTTCAGGAATATTTTGCAAAAGGCTCGAGAATTGGGACTACGAAGCGTCGCCTTGCCCGTCGTCAACTCCGTTCGCCGCAGTTACCCACCAGAAGCCGGAGCACACATAGCCCTAAGTACGAACATAACTTGATGTACTTGTAATTTTTTTTTTTTTTTTTTTTTTTCCAATCTGCTTGCATGTTGCGCGCTCATTCGATAGTCGTTTCATTGTTGTATTGCTTTGCCGATCGAGAGTATAAAATATAAAGTGAAACGAGGAAAAAGCAATGTATGAAACGGCAAAGCCATCAACTGAATGAACAATCGATAAAGTGACGTAACAAAAACGTATATGCGATATGAAAAAAAAAAGGCAATCTTGCACGAGATAATAATAAAACGGATTATCTGATGGGCGGTGGTGATAACGATGTGATAACCAGAAAGACGACGGCGGGTTTTTCAGGGACGGTGCGCCGATTTTTGGAGCAGTACAGCGAATCGTTCGGCTGCGTGATATTCGTGCTCGATCCACGGGACCTCGAGGTCTACCAGCTATTGTTGCCGTTGTACTTTCCGAGGACCATGGCTGAGGAGGACGACGCGTGCTGGCAGTTGCCGAGTGACGTCGGTGGAATAGATGGCGAGCCTCAGTTGCCCGACAGACAGATTCGCATCATCGACAATCCCCAGCACACTTTGCACGGTGAGTGTTGGCTCGGTCGGTTGCTTTGCTTTACTACTTTTTTTTTCTTTTTTTTTTTTTTTTTTTTCACGTGTTTTATTTCATTTAC